AGGGAGTCTCAGGCGGGAGCCGTTGCTGTTGTAGTCCAGGGGGGCAACAACGCAGTTTGACCCAGACTAAAGTGTGAAGAAGTCTTAAGCGGGAGCGCCGCTCCTGAGTAAATTGGGAGGAAGTCTCAGACGGGAGGGGGGGTCCTGAGTAAATTTGGAGGAAGTCTTAGGCGGGAGCCGTTGTTGTTGTAGTCCGGGAGGCCAGGGACACAGATTAAGCACGAACATTTTCTATGTCAGAAGATCAGATCTTCGTCTAGGGGTACATTTTGATTAAGAAAAGCAATATGCACCGGTGATTGGGGGATCAACAATACATATTTTTAGAAATGAGAGTTCAACAACAACAACAACAATAATAACAACAATAACAACAACACCAACAACGCGACAAACAGAATTCTCACCACGAATTCCTTCTTCAGCCACGCACCCAGGGACAATGAATGACTGTTCGACCCCCTCACTCCTGATGTCGGCACACCAGATTCACGCGCTTCGTGGCCCCATAGGGAACATCACCGAAGGACCCGATGTTTGCGTTCGTATGTGCCCTCCGTGCCTATTATGGCACACCTTTGCGCACTTGTCGTGGCCCAATAGAGTGGGGGCGCGCATCAAGAAACCATATGCTTTTCGTCGGGTTGCCCTGGGTTTCTTCGCTCCGCACGCTGCGCGGTGACTTCCTGCGGCCGTTGAAGGAGCTGCTGCGTTCGGGGTAACCCGGACTGCCCCCCAGTCACACCTCTCGTGCGGGTCTTCAGGGCTGGGTTTCTTGCGAGGGTTTCTTGCGGCGGCGCACGCATTGTATGGAGCCCAACCGAGGGCCCCAATGGCGATGTTCATATACGCCCGCCTTATGATTTACGGCTCACTACTCATACGTTTTCGGGCTGGAGTGGGAGTACCACTGAAGGCTCAAGTGGCGGTGTTCGCATCCGGCCGCCCTGCCCATTTTGGCACATCCATCACATGTTTCGTTGCCCCCTAGGGAACCCCACCGAAGACCCCAGTGGCTGTGTTCGCGCGCGCTCACCGCGCCCATTTCGGCACATTCCACACGTGCTCCTTGGCCCTAAGGGAGCCCCACCGAAAACTATATTCACAACTGCGTCACTCACAACTGCATTTGGTTGGGTCCTTTGCCTGGCAGATTTTTGAGTATCACATGGGGTTTGTGGAGGCCTAGCCAGGATCTTTGCAACGAGAGCACCGTCCTCGGTCATCAACGATGGCGCAACCTCACGAGGTCAACGCACCGACGGTGTTACATACATCGCGTGTGTCCTCAGCACCAGATTTGAAAATGTCGAGGACTAGCGGCGGCGTATATCTGGAATAGCCCTTGCCGATTCCAGTGTCAATCGAGGTGAACCCATCGATTCGGGACTAGCCCGAAATTGCCAGACGGGAAGCGGATCCGGCTGGATTCAAGTTTCCGAATTCCAGATATTGTCGCTCTTGCTGTTTCGGGCTTTGGGAGAGGGCACTTCCCGAGCCGTACTTCCTTGTACAACCCCTCAACCACCAGATTCCCTTTTTCCCACACCAGCGCGACAAATTGTTGCACCGATTGTGCAGTTACGGACACTTGGCTAAGCGCGCTCCTGGAAATATTGGCGGGGTCTTCAGTGGTCGAACTGCCAATGCGTTCCACGCTGACGCGAGCAACGCACCGACGGTCACGCCCGGCAATATCTGGGGCGACCAAGAGCCGCGCGAATCCACAGCGCGTCTAGGCCGGGAAACTGGCTACGCCCAAACAGCCGGCACCAACGACAATTATTGGAACCAAGGGCTTGTTGCAGCTGCAGCCAATAGCCCACCCCGAACTTCGAGTGCAATTTGGGGTTCGTCGGGCCAACGCCTTGATGCGCCTTCCGATTCAGGAGCCGAACCGGACGCTTGACCATCCACAGGTGTCGCTGAGATCGTTTGGTCAGATTCACCCGCTGTCGACGACCAAGCAGCACAATGCCTCCGCCTGGGCTAGCACCATGCTAAACACCGCTGGAGGCGACATGTGGAGCAACAACGAATTTGGAATCAGGCGGGCAGTGCGACGGGTAGCCCATCGCGAGGGTAGGGGGCGCGGCAAAGGCGGCAAGCGTTGTCGCAGGCTGCACAAGGAATGGCCACAGTCCCAGCTAACCTTACTGATCACGATGTTGAAGCTTTATTCTCCAGTGGAAACAATCAAGGCACATGTCGTATACATACCACTGGGAAAGGTAGGGGGCGCAAACTAAATCCCATGGACAAAAATTGCCAGGATTTGACATGTAATACCTGCGGTGGTGACAGACATGTCCAAGCACAGCGCGCGAAGGGGAAACGGAAGGGTGACGGCTTTTCATGGCCCAATGTATTTTGACGACGGACATACGGAGTACGTCGATTTCTTCGGGCTAGATCATTCCCCAATCAGTGCTTGCACTGTAGGGGTACAAGCGGAAGTTGAAAGATCGAAAGTTTTCCGCCGATGTTGGTGGCCGGCTGGGTTCCCGGATTTCCGGTTCTGGGTTCCCGGGTTCCTGGCCATTGGTTCCGATCCGATTTCGGTGGGTTCCGGGTTGCCGGGTTCCTTGGTTCCCGGTCGATGTGTTCATCGATCTTTCTATCGATCTCAAATCATCAAATGATTGGGTTTTTTGTATAATGAATTCTTCCAACATCTCCCGCTCAACCTGCTCATTGATGGCCTGGTTTGCCGAAGCAGCGATGGCCGTCGAGCGACGCGCGGACATTTTGCGCGACGGCACGTTCGAGTTTACGAGACGCCGTTCGAGGGCTCGTTCGGTCGTGTGCACGGCCGCGCGCTTCACGTCACCTATTTGCCCGGCTGCGTGCGCGACGACATCGACCGCGACATCGAGTGCGACATCGAGTGCGAGGCCGACCACATGTCCGCGGCGGGCCCCACTTTTGCCACCGATGAGGGTGGTGGCTTTCTTCCAGCTCGGACGCGAGCTGGGTGGTCGCACCCATCAGCCGTCGCCAACCATAATACTGCTGACGAACTGGCGGCGGCGGGGTGGGGACAGACTACTACGGCTATCATCGCGATGTGGAATAGAGGGCCCCTTGTCGGGCCCGGAGCTCCAGCCGCGGCAAAGGGCGCCACGCCGACATGGGCAAGGGCCACGCGCGCGATGGCAAGGGTTTTTGTTCGTGTTCCCGAGACGAACGCGGCCCGCGCATGGGGGCGTCAAGTCGCCGGCGTTTGGGCCGTGGTTGTTTGGAGGGTGTAGTTCGTCACTGGTGCTCCTGGCAGAACGTCTTCAGGGGCCCCGTCACGGGCGAGATCCAGAAGGCATCGGGCCGTCGATCCAATCGGGCAGATGCACGCGCCAAGAAACGTGAGTCATGAGGTCGTCGCCGATCGCGACACGCATCGTATGCGCGGTTGTCCACAGTACCAGAAACATCGCACTATGCGCCATATCGATCGCCCATCGAGGAGTCCCCGTCACCTCGCCACTCCCTGGCGCCCCGACAACGGAGACGGGCGTAGTGGCCCTGCGGAGATCGTCAGGACCAGCGCATAGGTGCATCCGAGGTACAGGTCGTGGATATCGAACAAAACGGGGCACAAGCCCCTGAGGATCATTGCCTGGAGAAGTTTCAGCGAGACCATCATGCCATGCATGGCGATGCAGACGCTGATCGAGGAAGCTCTTTCGGTGAGCATCCCTCGTAACCGGCTCTCCAATACGACGGGCCAGCTGGCCGACAGCTCTAGGATGGCCCCCACCAGAAGGTGACCCACAGCAGAACAAGTGAATCCAAAGCAGCAAGTAGACGAGGTGGAGTCATTGTCACCATCCTCGCCACCACGCAACGCCGTGGATAAGTCGAACAAGAAGCGTGCGACCACGCCCTGGGCGCCCGACCGCTCTCTTCACCGCGTCAAGGGTACCCGCGACGAGGAAGTTCCCCTGGAAGAGGGCAGGCCGATCGCGGAGCGATCGCCTCGACGCGGAAGATCTCGGGAAGCCGTGGTCGCAAGCATGGCCGCCGTTTTCCAGGGTAGCTAGCTCCACGCCCGAGCCGCAGCAGGCGGAGGCCGCTTGATCTGGAACATCGCAGTCGGCAAGTTCCCCCCGCGGCAGCGGTTGGGCTCCACGACTTCTGGACGCGGGCGCCGGTGAGCATAGCGGCACGGCTGGGGCCAGCTACGATGGAGACGCGGAGAAGAAAAAGGGGGCTGAATTAGATGCCGTTCTCGTGGCAGTGGGCAGCCTTCTCTTGTGCAGTGAAGGCGTCATTCAGGGCGTCGCCCACAGACACGAATTTCATGCGCGTGGCTCCGAAAAGGCCATTTCACCAGAAGGTGATGGGCGTGCTGAAAGCACGAAGGACGACACTAACGACCTCGGTACCGCCCCTTGGCAGGCGAGGACACGCGCGGCCTTACCAGCCTCGGGCCCGCAAGCTCCGAAGCCGTTGGTCGGGCCATTGGCGCAGAGGCACGGGCAAAGCCCAAGCAAAGACCCCCCGCAAGGGCTGCCACGCTCCCTCAAGATCTCCCACCTGATGAGAGCTGCGAGGACCAATGCTTGCAGCCTGCTTGTGATCCATCGCGCATCGTTCGCGTGTTTCCACATGGTGGAGTGCCGAATTCCGCGGGGCCCCTGAACCATCAGGACAGGACTTCACGAGGCTGCGATGCTGAGGGGGAGGTGGATCAAGAGGGACGAGAGACGAGGGAGGAGGAGGAGGAGGAGGAGGAGGAAGAAGAAGAAGAGGGAGGAGGGAGCGAAGGGGGAGAGGATGAGCAGGGGGAAGAGGGGATGAGGGAGGGGCGAGAGGAGCAGGAGGAGAGGGAGGAGGAGGAGGAGGAGCTGGAAGTGCAGCAGCAGAAGATGCCCTTCCACCCCCGAGGACAGCTGGCCCGTCCCCCTCCGGAGGGCGAGCGGGGGCGAGGTGGGCCGCGGGACGGGGCCTCTCTTCTCTCCGGCGCGCGGCGCGCGGGGCGTGCTTGGGAGCCCGCTGGCGAGGCGAGCTGCAAGCTGTCCACCCTGTCGGAGGCGCGGCCCTCGGATCGGCTGGGCGCCTCTTGCTCCTCATCCGTGTCCTCTCCTCCTCCCCCATCATTCCTGGCCTCCTCGTTCTCCGCCCGCAGCCCTCTCTCCTTCCCGCCTCTTCGCTTCTCCTCCTCCCCCTCCTCGATCCTTTTATCAATGTATCTGTTCTCCTCTCCCGTTCTTCCTCCTTCTACTCTCTCCCGCTCCTCCTCCTCCTGCTTCTCCTGCTCCTCCCGTCTCCTGCTTCACTCTTCTCCTCTCCTGCCTATGCTCCTGCTCCCTCCGCCCCCTCTGCTCTCCTCTCCCTCTCCTCCCCTCTCCCGCTCTCCTCTTTCCTCCTTTTCCGTCTCCTCCCTCTTACTTTTCTTTCCTCAGGGCGTTGCCGAAGAACGTACATCTATGAACACAGCAGGCTCACCTTCTCCTCTTGCCTCTCCTCCTCCCTTCCCTTCCTTGTGCTCGGCGAGATACGTCTCCAAAGCTGCTATGATCGCCAGGCTCGTGCAGGGATGTCTTCCCCGGGGTCGCGGATCTGATCGGGTCCTCGTAGCTTGCTTTTCTTTGCCGCGTCGGCGATGCGCCCGCGATTCCATGCGGCTGCTCTCTCGACCGTGCATCCCCGATTCCGATGCCAGGATTTATCCACATCCACCGCCTGAGAAACCGATCTTCCCGGACGGCGGGAGGCGGTGGATACGGACAGGGGGGCACTTTGTAGTTATGCTATTCATACCCGCCGCCCCTTGGGGTCCCAGGACATCGATTCCCCAGGCAGCGTGCATTGATAAACCCCCGCCTCACACCAATGCCTCGACACTGAGGAAGTGACGCTGACGATGTCGCGCCTGCCCCTGAGCAAGGCGGCGCTGAAGCACGGAGACGCGCTGGAGACACCGCAGCACGGTGGCTTCTTCACCCCGAGATCCCTCAAGCACTTGCCTTGCTCGCCGACGAAAGACACGGCGCAGCGTGCCATGACCTTGAGCCCGAAGGCGACGGAGTGCTACCATGAGATCTCGGCCTCTCCGATCAGAGCATCTTTCGCCGCCCTCTCCCGGGAGGATCGAGTCGGGCGAAAGAGTCGAATTTTGCCATCCAGACGTTGAGTTCTTTCGCCACGGGCGATTTCGCCTTGCTTCGGGGCACAGAGCTTTGATGGATCGATCTCGCTCGAGAACTGACGCAGACAGAAGGATTGGGTCCAGGGCTCCAGTCGTGTTTGTCAGCTATGTCGAATTTGCTGTTGCAACGTCGGATCCCAGGGGGGTGGGAGGGCGATACGAAATCTGCCGCCCAGCAGCCAGTTTCGGCCCCGTTGCCGGTCGTGTTCCTCAATACAAGGGCGTCTTCGGCGCTGGGAGACGCCGTGAGCCATGCTACACGTCACTCAGAGCCTTGTGACCCAGAAGACACAGGGAGGACGCGGCTGCCGAGTGCACAGCCTAACATCGATAACGTGCAGTGTTCGACAAGGTACCGATGCCGCTACCTTTGCCTTGCTTTCGCCTTGTTAGGGCCTCTTGGGAGTCCTTCGTCGCCGCAGCTGGATTCGCTTCGAAGTTTTGGTCAGAGCGCACACAGGGAGAGGTGCCAGGAGTAGTGGTATCGGTATCTTGTTACCTACCCAGAGGGCGCGCCGCGACACCCACCAGCGTGCCTTCTTCTGACGTTCTGCGCGTGTCGTTCTGTCTCTCTGAGGCGCCGGGAGAGCCAGCTGCGTGAGCTGAGTCGCTTGCCCCCCCCCTCTTTTTGCTATCCCCCCGTCTCGTCCGGCCCTGGAGGAGCAGCCCTCGAAGCCGGAGGCGAACGACGGGAAGACGTTCACGATCGGCGGTCGTCGGCGGAGGCGAAAGGGGCGGATGGCCCGGGGTCAGGCACTGCGCATATCCCATCGGCGCCTCGCCGTGTGCACGAGTCATCGGCGTCGCTGGATGCATGCAGTGCCCCCTTGCAGGCCATCTCGAAGAAGAACAGGTGCACAGGCATGCGTTGTCGGAGGTCCGTGCAGATTTTGGAGTCGGCGCTGGACTCCCCCTCATTCCCTCGCGTTAGGAGCCCGCAGGGATCTGCGTCGGAGGACCCGCCAGGGGGGCCCAGCGCGGACCTTCGAAGCAGTTGTTCAATGTCAGTCTATCATTAACAAATCCGTGGGGGGCGCGGGGCGCGTGTTTAGAATTACCTTGGCGACGTACCCAGCCCTTGCGCAATGCGGGACATGAGTAGTTTGGGAGACGTTGTACGGAGGTGATGACATGTACTTCTGTGTACATGGGCACATGGGCACATGTACTTCTGCGAGCGGCATTCGTGAGTCTCGCAGCCCCCCAGGGATTGCGAGGTCCCGCTCAGCTCTGCGTGGTGCCTCACTCCGCTGGACCCGCCACCAGCCTTCGAAAGTCGCGACGGTTTCGCAGAACGCAGCCCCCCAAGGACGGCGAGGTCCCGCTCAGATCTCCGCGGTGCCTCATTCCGTTGGACCTGCCAGCAACCCTTGCATGTGGCGACGGTTTCGCAGATCGCACCCCCCCAGGGGCGGCGAGGTCTCGCTCAGATCTGCGCGGTGCTTCACTCCGCTGGACCCACCAGCAGCCCTTGAAAGTGGTGACAGCTTCGCAGATCGCTATGCTGGCCCCCCCCAAGCAGCCCTCGAAAGTGGCGACAGTTTCGTAAACCGCACCCCCAAGGGATGACGAGGTCTAAATTGGGTCCGCGGCGGCTACCCACTATAGCTGGCCCCCCAAGCAGCCCTCGAAGGTGGCGGCAATTTTGCAAATCGCAGCCCCCCCCCCAGGGATGGCGAGGTCTACTTTGGGATCTGCGGCAGCTTCCCACTATGCTGGCCCCCCAGGCAGCCCCGAAAGTGGCGACGGTTTCGCAAATCGCAGCCCCCCCAGGGATGGCGGGGTCTAGTTTGGATCTGCGGCGGCTGCCCACTATGCTGTCCCCCCAGGCAGCCCTCGAAAGTGGCGACAATTTTGCAAATCGCAGCCCCCCATGGATGGTGAGGTCTAATTTGGGCCCGCGGCGGCTGCCCATTATGTTGTCCCCCCCAAGCAGCCCTCGAGAGAGAGGGGTCAGTTTCGCAAATCGCAGCCACCCAGGGATGGCGAGGTCTAATTTGGGCCCGCGGCGGCTACCCATTATGCCCCCCCCCCCCCGGCAGCCCTCGAAAGTGGCGGCAATTTTGCAAATCGCAGACCCCCAGGAATGGCGAGGTCTAATTTGGGTCCGCGGCGGCTACCCGATATGCTGTCCCCCCAGCAGCCCTCGAAAGTGGCTGTAGTTTCGCAAACCGCAGCCCTCAAGGGATGGCGAGATCTAATTTGGATCTGCGGCGGCTACCACCCGCTATGCTGTCCCCCAGGCAGCCTTTGAAAGCGGCGACAGGTTCGCAAATCGCAGCCACCCAGGGATGGTGAGGTCTAATTTGGGCCCGCGGCGGCTGCCCATTATGCTGTCCCCCCAGCAGCCCTCGAACGTGGCGACAGTTTTGCAAATCGCAGCTCCCCAGGGATGGCAAGGTCTAATTTTGGGCCCGCGGCGGCTACCCGATATGCTGTCCCCCCCCAGTAGCTCTCGAAAGTGGCGACAGTTTCGCAACTCGCAGCCCCCCAGGCAAGATGAACACACAAGGGGTACCGCAGGCAAGATGCACACACAAGAGGTACGCAGAAGGCGGGAGGCGGGAGGCGGGAGGCAGGAGGAGGAGGAGGCGGGAAGAGAAGACGCGGCCGCAGTGGTCTATTCAAATCGAATGCCCAACCAAGAAGGGTTGGGAAAAACTAGTTTCCCTGCTCGGGCGAATCGCGGGGTGGCGCCCGCCATATTGAAAATCAGCGACGACGGCGCCCAGCCGCCAGCGGGAAGGCGACATACATCACATATTGGGGGAGGGAAATGGGGCGAGAGGCAAAGGCGGCAGAAGCAGGGATCTTGAGCCAGGGTGATACTTGTTCGACATGAAGAACTGATGTCGGCTCTCGCCCCGCACTTTCTGTGTTTTTCTGTCGAACCGATGCGCTTCGCTTGTTTTGGTCGCAGCCAGGGGGGGCGCCAGTTGCTTCGCGGGCCCGCGAGCAAGGCGGGTGCTGATTTTCTGAGCGCCCCGTGGCGCCGAAAACGGCCATGCATCGAGCATTGGCCCCTAGGCGGGGCGACCGAAACAAGCTGCGCCCAGCAGGTTTCGCAACCCCCTCTTTCCTTCCCTCAGCCTTTCGTCCGACCCGAGGAAGGCGGGCAGTCCTCCTGCCCCCGTCTGTCGTGGTCTCTGTAGTAGTCGTCGACGACGACGACGGCGACGAAGACGAAGACGAGGACGAGGAGGACGAGGAGGACGAGGAGGACGAAGACGAGGACGAGGACGAGGACGACGGACGGCGGACGGCAGACGGCGGCGACGACGACCGCGACGCATTGCGGATGCCCTACGGGCGGAGGGCTGCGCAGGCCCGCTGTCGTCGACGACGCTGACGACGACGACGACGACGAAAACGACGACGACGACGCACTGCGGATTCCCCTGCTGGGGGGGCTGTTGCGCAGGCGGCGACGACGGCGACGACGAAAATGACGAAAACGACAACCACGACGACGACGACGACGACGACGAAGAAGACGACGACGACGCTTGAGCAGGGGGGAACAAGTCGCTTCGGATGTGCACGACCCTGTATGACAACTTCTATTCGAAAAAGTAATCGTTTTGAGGCTTTCATGCAGGGGGGGACACGATCCCTGGCGCGCATGATTAAAACCAGTGTTTCGCGCCCCGCGAGGTATATTCATCAGCCCCGGGGGGGTAGCCATCTGTGAATCACAAGCTGACATTGTGCACCTGTTTTTCTTGTGCTCCCCCCCCCAGACACCCGACGTCGTGACATTCTCTTCGTCGGAGCCAGTCACCGGCGCCAACATCCTGAGGACAAAATCCAAAGTCGCAGTCGCATGCCATTTGTTCGTGTCCTTGCGCTGGTCTGTTCGCTGGCAACGAACTTGTTGAGAAAAGATGAAGGACGCCGCGGGCTCTCCCCCCTTTGCCCTTTCCGGTGGGCCCCGTGGGGCCAATGAGCACTGTGAGGCCTCGGGCTTTCGAGCCCCACGAGTCTCGATCCTTCGGTCTTCGGGCTCAATGGGGCCTGCGATGATGGGCGGCGCGGGCGTGCCCTCTGGCTCTGGGGGGCCCCGCTCACCCAACCGGCGTCCACAGGGAAAGTGCTCCATCTTTTTCCAGTGACGTCTTGGTGCCGGTGCCAGATGTTCAACGCCGGCATTGTCGGAGAGCCGACACCAGCACCAAGCACCCCACGTGCACGGAGCCCCCGAGGGCGCGTGGTCTTGCGAGGACTTTGCACGTGCGCGTCACAAATGTGCACGAGGAGCGGACGTCCGAGCGATGGCAAGATTACTTCTCTCGGCGGCGAAGTCCGAGCCCCAGTCTCGCCGATCCACGACTCGTGCAACTCGATGGGCGGCGGGGCAGGTCTTGGAATTAGTCGAAGACGTGGCGACATGCGAACCTCACCCCCGCCTCCCATCGATTCCAGCGAATCGATAGTTGGCGTGGGTCGGGTTCGGATGTCGCCAGGTACTCGCGCCTCCCCCGAGGTCGCCAGTTCGGTTTCCTCGACGTCATCGGCCGCGGGGCGTTCGGCGTCGTGTGGCGAGCGCGAGAGCAGGACGGATCGCCAGGGTCCCTTCGGGGGCCACCCAGGGATCCCCTCGGGGGCGGGGGGGGGGCGTTAGCGCGAGCAGCTCTTGTGCTCTCCCTGGCGAGGATGGCGGACGGTTTTGCGGGCAGGATCTTGGTCCAGATTCACTGCGTGTGGGACTGTCTGGGACGGGGCACCACAAGGTCGAGGCGCAGTGGATATATACAAAAATCTAGCCTTTGGGGGCTAATTGGAGGCTAACTTGTTATCCATGTACACAGCAGCTCTTGCTTCTGGGGAAGAAAGGAACACTATTTGTTCCAGACGCTGTGGATATGGATACACATATTTCTTTCATGTTTCTCGCCTCTTGCGGCTTCCAGGCCCACAGATCCGAGGCTCCGAAACAGATCGAGCGGCCAGTCTTAATACATTTCTGGCCTCGGGGAGCCGTCAACGGACCCCCGGATTCAAAATCAATTTAGGCTGAAAAGCCGGCCCTAGGATGTCTGAGTTTCACGGCACGGGTCTTCTCAGAAGGCCTTAGATAGAGGCTTCTATAACGAGTGCCCTCAACGGGCTTCGGTTCTGTCAAACGACGAATCAGGGCGAGACACCAGTTGTCCAGACCTAGAGGGTCCACACGGATCGAAACAGTCGGAACGCCGGATGCCTGGGGGAGCCCTTGCCGGGCCCGGGGGCCGTCGACAGAGGATTCGGCTTTTAAAGCCGGTCCCAGGAAAATGGGCAAAACCTTTGGGGATCGGCGTTGGGGAAATTCGCGAAGTCTGTGTAACTGGCGTTTGCTGGCCACTCCTGGGCGCTTACTATTTAGCCCGTGCCTGTGTGGGTGCACTGAAGGGCTTCGCTTGTCGGGGTATTTGATGTCGGGCGGGGCGAATAGGATTAATCGTCCCTGAGCGTTCGAGAACGCTTTCGAAGCGTCCTGGAGCGCTCTGCAACGCCCGCGGTGCCCAATGCACATCTCCAGAATCGCCAGATCTCGGGGTCCGATGTTGGTGTGGTCGTTGCTTCGTTGTAGGTCTCCAGCAGGCCGAGGACGCTTGAAAGCATGCCCTGTCCACGTTGTTTTGCGCCGCCCGGATCCATCGGGCAGGCGGGAGCAGATGCGTGGAGAGAGAGATGGGCGCCGCCCCGGGCGGAGGACGGGAGGGGGTTCAGTGGCATCTCCCAGACACCAGGCACCCAATCTATGCCACCGCGTCGCGATTTGCGTCGAATCAGCATCGGGTCCATGTTGAATCCGCGTCGGATGCCGCGTCAGACAAATGAGCGACGGAAGAAAACAGGGTTGGCTGCGTCGAGATTCGCGCGTAAGTTTTCCGCGTAAGGCCGCGCGTGAGCGCCCTCGTTTCCCATGTAGCGAGCCGCGCTGGCGGCCCGCGTAAGCCACCGTGTAAGCTCGCCATGGCATCGTGCGTAAGACCCGATTCTTCTCGTCGACCAAGTATCTGTACTGCCGGGTACAGGACAGACACGCCTGCTCCCTTGAGCGGTTGGTCTCTTCTCGCCGCTGCAAACGCCGTCTTCCCCTCCCCAGTGGCGCCGGGCTGGAGAGGCAGACTCCTGGCTGGGCCCTCCTCGACCCGACTCTGCATCGACCCCCCGACATCCGCCGATGTGGTTTGTCGAACCGCAGCCCCAGAGGGGCAGTTTCTCGGCTTGGATCCGCTTTTGATTGCCCTTGGGCTCGAACGTTGCCCTTCTGGGCGGAAGTCCATGGACAACTCCTTGTCAAGCAAATCGTGAAGTCGGAGATCTGGGTCGGTCTCGGCCGAATCGGTCCGGTCCGGCTCTTGTGCTTCCCGACGACCCGGTGCAGCCCAGTGCCTGCATGGGCGTCCGGCCTGAGCATCCTTGGCGTGGCCGGCCCGATTCGATAGCGAGGCGTTGTGCTGGTGCTGCCCGAGGTCCGACGCACGTTCCGATCCCATCCGATATCCCGATTCGAGGCTCACTCGACGATCGACGTTCGATCCATTACCCCAGGGGTGGACCTAAACTGTTTTTGGGCGATTTCGTGGGCGGTTTTCGTTTCGATCGCGTTTTACCTTCAAGGCGGTTTGTGGACAAAACGAGGGAAAACGAAAACAAAACGAAAACGAAAAACACCGTTTAGGTTCAGCCCTGCATTACCCCGGCTGCTGCCCGCCATCCTGGGCGCCTGGGGAAGCAGGGCATGGATAGAAAGCGGCCTCGGAGGCCAAGAGTCTATCCATGTCCCCCCCGTTCGGGGTCCTCGTGAGGTCGGGGCGTGAGCAGGGGCATGGAGAAAGCGTCGATCGCCCCCATCCCTGCTCGTCGGAGAGGAGGGAGGAGGACCAGACGAAGGAACGCTTGCATAAGAAGATGAGCTTTCGAGGATCCGCGCGGATCTCTTGGATCTGCGCTGGGCCACCCTGGCGGCGCCTCCGGTGCCGCCGCTGGCGCGCTCCCTGCGCCAGGGAGGGAGGTCCAGCGCGACCCGAGAGGTCCGCCCAGACCTCCGAAAGTGTACGTTGATGCAGTTAGCTGCGGCTCCTCTCAAAGGAGGAAGGTGGGGGCGTCCGAGAGAGGGGGTGAGTATCAGACGGGTGGATATCATGCTCCCCGATTGCTCTTCTTCCTGTCGATGCGTCCCCCGTGTCCTTCTCTTCCTCCGCATCCGTTTCGGGCCCTTCCTTTGTTCCTTTCTCGGCGTTCCTTTCGTCTTGGAGGCGCGTGGATAAGCGACAGGTCCCGTCTCAGTGCAGGATCGGCACGTTCCATCGACAAATGAGGCGGGATTGGCATTTTTGGTTCGGGGAGTACCTTTCCCGATTCGTGGATTAGGATGCAACTCCTGGGAGGCTTAAGGCTTGCTCCCGTTGAATGTGGTTTGGCCTGATCTGGCTCAATAGCCTTTTACTCTAGTTCTATGGCCCTTAATCGTTCTGATGAAGACATCCCAGGAGTTGCCTCCTACCGTGGATCTGGCGCCCACGCGCCAGACCCCCGTCTTCGTAATCCATGTCAGCACGCGCCCTGTTGTGGGAGCACGATGGTTGTTGCGCCAGACAGGGGATGCGGGCTCCAGCAGAGGCCACCGGTTGGGAGGGGGGAGCCTTCGGCATGCCTACTGCCCCGCGCCCTTCACCCAGGACGCCAGCGGCGAGGACGTGGCGGTGAAGGTCATCACATGCACGGACGCCGCTGGCTTCGCCAACGCCACGTTCGAGGCGGAGCTGCTCCAGATGCTGAGCGCCGCGCGGAGCCGCATGCACAGCCACATCCCCCGGTATTCCAGGGGCTGCCCAGACGGGGCCGCAATGTTCAGATGTGGTCAGAGTTTCCGCCGACGCATCGCCAATGCGCCACTGCGGCGCGATCGGGACCCTGAGATCCGGGCGTTGCATGTTTCACAGGGCGTTCTCGCCGAATTTCGGTCTCCAGCGCCATCGCAGATCATCCAGCTCGAAAGATGCAGCAGAACGATTGGGTCCAGGGCTCCAATCATGAGTTTCTGCAATGCCGCATTTTTTGGGGGAACGTCGGATCTCAGGGGAGCCAGGTTTTCTTCATCCCGACATTAACGATACATGTTGGGTGTGTCGGCGATGCGGTGCGAACCTCCGACTCCATCTGCTCTGGCCTCCATCCGGGCGGGCTGCCCAGGTATGTCGCCCACTCCGCCGCGAAGGATGCCGACCCGAGCAGCGGTGGCGTCGTGCGTTTGGCCATGTCGTACGTTCCCGGTGGTGCATTCGATCGGTGGGCGCGGGTCCTGCCAAGTGGGCCCCAGTTTTCTGGAGATGCCAGGTATTCCAGACAGATCCACATCGCACGAATACTTTGCACGGAGAACCCACTTGTGCTTGCTGGGTGAGCGTGTCGTTTTTTTCTTGTTGCGGTGCACGTCTGAAGGATTCGAGCACTGGTGGTAGCTTGCAGGCGTCGTCTGTTGTCCCTCCCTTGCTCGTCAATGTTATCTTGCTATATATATATATACATACATATGTATAGATACATTGATTGCTCTTGCGCTCTCTCTCCCTCCCTCTCTCTCTCGTTAACTCTCCCTCATTATGTATATATCTATATATGTGTATGTGTATGTCTCTCTCTCTCTCTATCATCTTCGTCCTCCTCTCCCCGACCAGGACGAGCGATCGCGCTATTTCTCGATTAACCTGGCTCGATCCATCACCTTTCTCAGAAGGCCAGAGGGCGTCCGAGAAGCCCCGCCGTCTTCTGAGAAGGCCTGCCCCCTCTCGTTTTCCCCCGCGGCGCGCCGCCGACTCTGAGCGCTGGTGTCCTGCGCCCTCGCCTCGGCACGATTCGAGTCCAGGGTTGGTTGCGCTGCTATTTCCACCTTTTTAGGCCTCGGGCCTCGCCGTGGACGCCCGCGCGCCGCTCTCCCCCAGGGCTCCGGCGCGGCGGATGGGCGCGCCGCGGTGCGCCGGCGGCTCGCGTCGCTGGCCGGGCCGCCGGAGTGAGGCTGATGCCAGCTGTGCTGGCTCGGGCTGAGCTGCAGCGCCGTGTTTCACCGTCCCTCCTCCGGTGGCAAATCATCGGAGCATTGATGCGGTCGGGCAGCGTCGGTATTAGCACCTACCAGCGTCGAGTTGGCGTCGAGGGGCGTCGATCCGCAGGGGTCAGCGTCGATTCGGAAGAGCCAGCACGATGGCGTCGGAGACTCCCATGAGTTGCCGCCTAACCCTCCCTCCCAAGCGGCTGGGGGGCTCGAGGCAACGCGGCTCACTTCGTCCTCGTCCTCGTCCCCTGCCAAGCAGCCTTTGGCCCTGGCCCTCCCTCGCCTCCTCCTCCTTCCTCCTCCTCCTCCTCCGCGCCATGCGGGGCTCATGCCAGCGGCGAGTCACTGCATCGTCTTGCAGTACCCTCTTTTCCTCTTTGTTTGTTGTTGATGGTTTCACTTCCCCTTCGCCTGGTTGGCCTGTGCCTGCATGTCACCTGGCAACGGACCACGATCAAAGGAGTTATGGTGTTTGCGCACACCCATCCCACGCTTCGTGGCTCCATAGGGAGTTCCACCGAAGGCCCCAGTGGCATGGCTCCCCGGCCGCCCCCCTTCACTTTGGCACACCGTTAACACGTTTCGTGGCCCCATCGGGACTTCCACCGAATTCCCTAGTGGCATGGTTCGCATGCAGTCCCGGTCCCCACCTTGGCACACCCTCCACACGCTTCGTGACCCCATCGGGAGCTCCACCGAAGGCTCCAGTGGCATGCTTCGCATGACGCCCCCCGTCCAATTTGGCACACCCATCACACGTTTCGTGGCCCCATCGGGAGCTCCGCCGAAGACCACTGTGGCGGTGTCCGCATGCGTTTCCCCAACCCAGTAAAGCGTTTCGCTCCCCATCGGGAGCTCCGCCGAAGACCGTTGTGGCGGTGTCCGCATGCGTTTCCCCCACCGAAGGCCCCAGCGGCGGTGTCCGCATGCGTTTCCTTCACCCGCTACAGCGCGTGTCCCCTCTGAGGAGCTCCAGCGAAGGCCCCAATGGCCCATTGGCGGTGTTCGCATGCGTTCCCCCCACCGAGTATAGCATTTCGTAGCCCTATAGGAAGCTCCACCGAATGCTCCAGTGGCGGTGCCCGCATGTTTTGCTTCCACCCAGTACAGCGTTTCGTGACCTCATATGGGACTCCACCGAAGGCTCCAGTGGCGGTGTCCGCTTGCGTTTCCCTCACCCAGTACATCGTTTCGTGGCCCCATAGGGAGCTCCACCGAATGCCCCAGTGGCGGCGTCCGCATGCGCTTCCCCCACCTGGTATAGCGCTTCGTGGCCCCATGGGAAGCTCCACCGAAGGCCCCAGAGGCGGTGGCCGCATGCGTCT